CTTCAGTCTGTAGGCTTACGCTCTATCCACTGAGCCAAATCGGCTAGGGCAGGGCTATAGACTATTAAAGTGAGTAAATTCTTGTGGCAAGAAGAATGTAGAAGTCGTATCAAAGCACATTATAGTTGCTTTAGAATTTCAGTTTATGTAAAAAAAATCAACAAATTTAGCAATAAAAGTTGTCAAAACTCATTCTGATTTTGTATTTGTTAAAATAGAAATACAAAGGATTGAAGGGGTACACGTATTTAAAGATTAGCTACTACAGCAAAACAAACAAAAACCCTAAGTAATCTTTTCTGAACCTTTTCTAAAATTCTGCTTAATGCATTGCTTAAAGTTCTGAATAATTTGCCTTAAGTAAAATTAAATCTACAGAAAGTCATTTTTCAGGGATAGCCAGATCTTCCATATTTGAGAGCTCATTCTTCATGGAAATTAATTTAAACATTTTCACTTTAAAAATGGGAAAAAATAATAGGGAAGTTAAAACTACTCTAAGAAACAAATAAAAAAAGGTTCCCTTCTAATCAGTTCCTGGAAAGTACACAAAAAAGTAATCAAAGTGAATGATAAAAAAACCAGGCCCTTGAATTATTCTCATTCCTTGGGTTATAAGTCATATTACATATTTTATTAATATTGACAATAGGATCTATGATATCAAGACATGTAAGTCAGGTGTTTCCATTTGTTTCTGTGGTTATTTATCTGTATGTTAACAGAAGTTGAATTGGTGAGTAATGTTTAGATTCTGGGTATTGCTATTATAAAGTTCACTCCTTTTACAGTTATGTTATTGAAGAAAATTATGTTAATTTTAAATACCTGAACCCTAGGGATAACAATGTCTTGGTAAAATGTAGTGAAGAAGGTCCCAGCTGCCTGAGAAACCAAGGCCACAGCAGGAAGGGGCCTGGTGGTTGGGGTCAGTAGGGGAGAGAAGCAGGGTCCTGTAGTGGCATGAATGCAGACAGCAGTCTGACACCTGAGAAGCCAGGGCACCTGAGGTCCAGTTGGCATTCTCCTCCCATGTAGTCATATAATTGGGGCCAGTCACTCCCATCTCCTGCACTGGCCCCTCCTCTCCAAGCACTGGGTGCTTCTGAGGATTAACTACAGTCCCAGGTGAAGGGCCAGGAGACCTAACTTTGTTGTTGCTGTTGCCCAGGCTCCAAGTAAGTCTCTAACATTTACTGATGGCACTGGGACATGGAGACGGATTCCTCTCCTTTCCTAGCTCTGTCACCTCCTTGGTCGGTGACTTTGGCATTCTCCAGTCCTTGGAAAAGCTCATATTCATTCATCCTTATGTGCCTCCGACCCACTTCAGTCCTCCACACCCTGGATTCAAGGGCCTTGAACATGATAGCCTGTCAGCACTGACTTGGTTCAACCCCCGTGCACCAGTGACATCTAAAGTTACTTAAACCTTTCTTTTGCCAACAGCTTTGTTTCCTCTGTCCATTTGACCTCTGCTTCACTCACTTGGAAAACCCCAACCAGAACTCAATATAATTTTACTTTAAAGGATGCACGTATGTGCACGCTCCCATACACACACATGCGTACAGACACGCAATGAAGCCACCCAAGAGATACTCCTAAAATTCTGAAATTTCCAAAAGTATGTCTGTATCCACACTCACCTTTATCTTATTCTGTCCAGTTTCCTTGCTTAAGGCTCACCCTCCTAGAATCCCATCCATCTTTGCTTTCAAGGGCTCGGTCCCCTAACATCCTCTCCCTCTCTCCTGACTTTCTCCTCAGCACACAGAGTCAAATCTTTTCCCTCTGAAAACCCCTGCAAATAGTCTTTCTTTCATAATTATTTTCTTGCAGGATAGCATATACTAGAAATTTCACAAATCATTGATGGGTCGTTTCATGTGCATATACCTGTGTACGCATTTGTAATCACCATTTCTTTCTTTCTTTCCTCCCTTTCGGTTTGTAATGCAGCTTCTGAAAATGGTAGTTTACGCTTTATATGTTCACTTTCTCACCCTCAATCAACTTCTAAATGCCCAGTTGAGCTTCAGTCCTAACGAGTCCACTGCAATTGTTCTTGCCTCATCATCAGTGGCTCTTCCCTATGAAATAACAGGAGTATGTTCCAGCCTTTCTCTGGCTTGACTGCTCAGTAGCACCCATGCCACCGGCCATCCTTTCTGGAAACACTTGCCTTTCATCTCTCTGCTCTCCACCCAACTCTCTAGTCATTCAGTCTTTCTCGTTTGTAGTTTTTCTCCGCTCATTCTCAAACGTGGGTATATTTATAAGCTCCTGACTCACATACACAGTTGAATGAGTATATCCCAGTCTCTTTCAACTCAACATTTAAAATGCAATCGAGGATGACAAATGAACTTAGGAAAAAATGATAAAGCATTATCTGTCTTCCACCTAAGCTAAAGACTTGATATTTATTTGCTATTTCTTCTCCCCTTATCACCTACTGCTTATGTAAAAATAACATTCTACTGAGGCATGCCACTGCATTGGTGCAAATTCTCATTACAGCGCCTTCCCCCATTCCCAGGCTGTAAACTGTAGGTTGGTTTATAGTGTTTCAAATTGATTAAATTACTCTTCACGGAGACAGGGAGATCTCCTGCAAATCAGAAGGCAGGGAAGGAAGCCTGGACGCTGTGTCTACGGGGCCGCAGCAACTCTAACAGAGGAGAGGCTGCCTCCTGTATGTGGAGAGCTGCTATCCAGGTGGCCACCGTCCCCCTGCTGTCTCTCCCATTTGCAGCTCGAGTCTGGGCCTGCCTCTGTCAGCAGCTCTGTCCCTAACTCCCTCCCTGGCTCTGAATTGGTGCATCTCCATTCTACTGTCCACATCCACCCAGGCTGATCCATCTAAAACTCACTTCCGTACGTAGCTTCTATCAACAGTTAACTATTAGCTCCTGGGTCAAGTTCATATTCATTGGTGTGGCATCCAAGGTCCTTCAGGATGTGTTTCCTGCATCCCTCTAAGCTTCATTTCTCTTTCTCTTTCTCCACCAAATCTGTTCCTCCAGTTCCACCGATACTGTTTGCAGTTGCCTTGACGGGCCATTTTCCTTCCTGATAGCACACCTTCCTACCTGGGGTTCCTTCTGCCTGAAAAACTTCACAACTGCCTAACTTGAACCCTTGTCTTAAAGTTAAAGGTGCCATCCTTGACCAATCCTGGACTCCAGCCTGGTTTTAGGTGCTCGCGGTCAGAGCATGCATCCCGATCTACTGTAATTCCCTGCTGCTCTCAGGCTGGGAGCTCCCTGAAGGAGAAATGCCTGTAGTGTCTGATCCTGAGCACATCCTGCTGTTTGGCAATAACAGGCAGACATATATGGACATCATGAATCATCCATGTCAAAGTACTTCTTTAAGCCTATTCTTTTATTTACATGTATATACTATTATTGTCCTCAAGGGAAAAGTTGCTTCAAGTGTTGTAAAGATTTTTAATTAAAGGCTCTATTATAAATTCTTAAAAGGCTCTTAAAAGAGCTAGAATAAAATAAATCTGTTACCAAAATATCTTTTTTTTTTTTTGGCGCTTTTGTGTTTGATTATGATCGTGTATGTGTGGCTCAGGCCTGTTAGACCGGAATGACAACTGTTATGTGTGTGTGTTTTAAGCATTTGAACACATACCACCTTTTGTAGATGAATAACTTGGACCTCTTTGAGGATGACATGGATTCAATAAAATAAATCCATCAGTGCTTTAAGTAGGTACCAAATAAAGGCAATCTTTGTCATTTTGAGGAATCACCCTGAGAAATATGTCTGTGACTTATGTGCCTAAGTTCCAAGAGTTGTTATCCAGTAGATTCCTAAGGAAATAAATTCAGAAAACTATAGCTACCATTTCATCACCATTTTCCAGTCAAAGGGGTACTTTTAACGATTAACATCATATTTAAACTTTTTTCACAATTGTGTGAAAGCGGCGGCACTGCTTCCCATTGCAGAAGCGGGGACTGAGGGACTTGCCAAGGACTTTCAGCTTAGAGGAGGGAGAGCTGGGACCTGCGCTGACCTTTAGCCTGGAGCCCCGCGCCCCAGCCCTTACACCATCGCCCTTTCCAAGCTGTGCTCTCCTCAGCTCTCCCAGGAGCTGCACTCTTGCTTGGCTCGCTTCCACCGGGACCACGGAGCCTGCAGCCCATCCTGGGGCTGCTTCCTTCATCCATCCTCCGGCGGGTGAAACCGGAGCCACATTTCAGCTAACAGCTATTGTCAGAGACAGAACACCCCGAAAGTGGGCGATCCGCTCGTTATATAACAGGGATCTACTTACAGGAGCAGCAAGCACAAAACCTTTCTAAACTGCTGCGCCTGTACAGAGCAGCTGCACACATTCTGTACAGTGTCTTGAGTCTGAAAACTGGAACGTATGCGGATTCTAAATGTCCTTCCCAGTTTCAAGACAAACTTTTGTGAATCCAATGCTTCATTGGCCATGCTGTATTTGTTCCTTTTCTTTCTTTTTTTTTCTTTTTTAAATATATTTTATTGATTTTTTACAGAGAGGAAGGGAGAGGCATAGAGATTTAGAAAACATCGAAGAGAGAGAAACATCAATCAGCTGCCTCCTGCACGCCCCCAAATGGGGATGTGCCCACAACCAAGGTACATGCCCTTGACCGGAATTGAACCCAGGACCTTTCGTCCACAGGCAGATGCTTTATCCACTGAGCCAAACCAGCTAGGGCTGTATTTATTCCTTCTCCCCTGGCTTACATTACTGTAGAAGAATGGCATGTGGCCGTAGGTGATGGCGTCAATTTGTTAGGGCAACACCAAGCATAACACTTTTGCTTTTCAATAGCTTCCACCTAGTAGAGCTGCCCAACATAAACTGAATGAAATTTAAAAAGAAAGAATTTGTAGTATCACATATAAGTATGTTGGGTTAACAATGTGATTTAATTGATAGTTGCCTTTGATGGAGAGAGGTGACAAGTGGGATTAAGATAAAGCATAATCTCACTCAATTTGGGGATTTGCTTGAGCTCGACAGTTAAAATGATTATGATAAATAATTATCATTTACAGGGCACTTTCATGTCTTTTGAAAGACACTTTAGGAGAAGCAGCATGGAGACTTATATTTTCAGAAAAGGGATATTCTTCCCACAGTATTAGTCTCAAGGCCAGTGTTTATTGTTCAATTTTAAGAATATTAGGCATATATTTTTTTTCTAAACAATCAACAGCTGACTGCAGCCATGTTTCTCTGATCCTAATAATATGTGACCACAGGAAAGAACATTTCAAAGAATGAGTAATGCATATTTTAAAATCAGAATTTGGAGAACAGTTCCCCAAATCCTCCAGAGCACCCTGAACTTCCCCATTTGTGCTGTTTTTCAATTTCCTCTCATCACTTTTGTTATTATTGGCCCCACGGCCATCTTTCTCTGTAGATTACAAGGGCCTGCAGGGCAGCGAGCCCAGCTGTGTTCCCCTCTGCTACACCTCTGGGACCCGGCACAAGACCTCACTCCGAACAGGCATCAGAATGTAGCTGATGAATGGATGAACCGCTAACTGCCCTCAAGCTATAGAGATTGTAACCAAGAGAACTATTTATCTAAAGGCTTCATCAATTTTATTCTCCTTTCTGGGGGGATGAGGGGTTGTCTTTATCACAGAAAGCCTATTTTGTATGCTTCTGCTTTAAAATTTAAAAAAGTATGATCAATTTGTAATATAGTTAATAGAGCCTTTGCTCTCTGTAATATTTTTTTCAGTATATTTGTATTGATTTCAGAGAGGATGGGTTAGGGAGAGATAGAAACATCAATGATGAGAGCGAATCATTGATTGGATGCTTCCTGCACGCCCCACACTGGGGATCGGGCCGGCAACCCAGGCATGTGCCCTTGAATGGAATTGAACCAGGGACCCTTCAGTCCACTGAGCCACACCAGCTCGGGTGCTCTGTTTAATATTTCTTCCTTGATAATACAGCTAAACCTCTTAGAACATTTACATAATTTTCTTTCTTTTCCTTTTTTTATTTACGTAATTTTATAGTAACACAATTTTTTAAATAATGTTTAGTTGTTTTGGCTAAATGAGAAAAAGGTAGTATTACTCAACATGCCTTAAAATTTGTTGATTACTGTATGAGTGTCTTTTTTATTTCTATCTAATATTTCCATGAAAAATTTTGACATACTTTTATAGAATCTATTTTAATATAATATGTGATAAAAGGCATCTCAAAACAAGGCATTGTTCCTATTTTATAAAAAAATAAAATTTAAGATTATTGAATGATAAGTGTAAAAGCTCAAATCTACTTGGGCATTCTAATATATAAACTGGCAGCCAGCCCTTTAAACTGGATGACCATTAGTAAATCAAACAAAAGCATGATATGACAAACCAAAGTTTTCCAGCTTCAAATCTGAGCTGGGCCTGGCTGATTTGGCTCAGTGGTTGAGCGTTGACCCATGAACCAGGAGGTCACGGTTTGATTCCCAGTCAGGGCACATGCCTGGGTTGTGGGCTCATCCCCAATAGGAGGCAGGCAGGAGGCAGCTGATCAATGATTCTCTCTTATCATTGATGTTTCTATGTCTCTCTCCCTCTCCCTTCCTCTCTGAAATCACTAAAAATATATATTTAAAAAAATCTGAGCTGGTAGTTGTCAAAACTAACTTCAATTCATGTTCACAGAGCAATAGAACCATGTTATTTTACACGGGCGACATAAACGTTTCCTTTTCTGTTAGGATGCAGGGCTCCATTACCGAGAGCTGTCAGACCCCGGAGCCACATGCCTTAAAACAGAGCCTTCTCCAGCTATCATTTCTGTGACCCAGTTTCTGCTCATCTCATTGCCAGGAGCCCTGGAGAGGAGATGACCTGTAAAGCCAGGAGTGGTCTCACATGACAATCACAGCTTGTGCAACTGTCACACCTCACGGTGTGTTCCTCAAAGGCCAGGATTCACACCCTCAGCCCGACAGGAATGAGGTCCTGCAGCCGCCCAGAGAGCACAGCGAGGGGGGTCCCCGAGTGGGTAGTAGGTACCTGGTTCACAGAAGCTTCGGTGTTTGCCACAGGAGACGGGGAGCGACAGGCAGGCGGAGAGGAGATCTCACTGCTGGTTCCTTCCTCCCCAGACTCCTCGGTGACAGGTGACAGCAGAGTGTGACAGCGACCTGCAGTCATCTGTCACACAAAAGGTAGCCCAGAGGACATAAAAATCAATTAGCTGTGCAACAAAAGACCTGGTCAGGCAGAGGGCAAAGATCTTTATACTAGTATAACAACGGTTAGAATGACTGAGACCCGCATCTCATACACACTTGTGTTACACTTGTGTTAGTATTTAAATGTGTGGTGCAGGTGAACATGAAGCTAGGAACCATTTGTAAAGAAACAGGGCTAGGAGGTGCATATCAGAGTAAAAGTTTTGTGGTTGATGAAATAGTTCTCTAATCTATTTTCCTTTTCTGGATTGTTTGTACCTTTATAAATAATTTTTTTAAAAAAACATGAATTGTACACATGATGGAAGGGTCTATCAAATGAAGCTTGGACTTTTGTGCACATCTCAAATTTCAAATATTCTGAGAAGCCAATTGCACCCTGAGGGACATGTCACCTAAGTATCGGTTATGCACTGGACATGGCACAGCACATATGTGTGGAAACTACACAGCACCGGAACACACTGAGTTACCAAAATAATTCATGCATGTTACATGCAAAGTGATGGGGAAATAAATGCAGGCAGAAATTAGTGGCACTTCTTTATTTTAATCCAAAGCTTAAGCTTTGGATTTTTCTATTGTCTTATTTTTCTAAGAATAGCCCTTCTTCTATATTTTACTAAACATTTCTACAACTAAACACACATAGCCAGTCAGCCAATGTTTTGACTTGGAAAGCACACAATATATGTAGCATGATTCTCCCATCCCCCAGGAAACTAGAAAACTGTGCAAAGGTGTTTAGTTTAGTTTTGTTTTAAATACTTAGAGCCTCTCCGTGCTCTTGCTCAGTTATAAACAAATGCAGGGCCGACCTTTGGCATGTTAAGTAATTCAGTCGTCTCCAGCAAATAGCTTTATGTCAACTGTCATTGTTTACAGTGTCAAATACTGGCTCTGGCCCAAATGTAGCAGAGACTTCAGGAGCCTGTTCCTCACTTCTCCTCGGCAAGACCTACTTCTGATCCCTACAATAAGCCAGAGTAAATGTGGAGCCAGGAGCCAGGAGCCGGGGTGCAGTCAGAGAGCGAGAGAGGGTGCAGAGAGAGAGTGCAGGGCGCCGGCAAACCTGGCCTTGACCCGTACTTACCATGACCACAGCGGGGTGGGCGGAGGCGGCTGGGAGGAGCTCCCGGTCCAAGTCCTCCACCAGCCCCTCCACGCCCGTCACCGTGAGCAGCATGGTGGCGTTCTTAGCTTTCACGGTCAGCATCTTGCACTTGGAGCTCAGGGAGGCGATCTGGTCCTGGTAGCCTCTGATTTTCTGAGCCAGCTCCTGGGGAAACATGTTCCCACCCCCTGAGTGTCAGAGCAGCATCAGAAGGAAACCGCTCGCCGCGTTCATCTTCCTCCCGGGCTGGCCAATGAGAGGGCAGCGCTGTGCCGGCGGCGGTGGGAGGCAGGATGTGGACGGAGGGGCAGCAGCCTGCCTGCAGTGCGGGGCGCAGGGGGGAGCCGCCGGCAGGGCACCCAGGCTCCCGCCAGGGATCCTAACCCCGAGGGGAGGGATGCTGCGTGCGCAGTCAGGAACTTATGTAACCTGAAGAGCCTGCCGCTCTCTTTCCAGCGCCTGAAGAACCTGTCACTGCCAGATGGTGCATGCCATAGAAATCAGGTCATGTGATGACTAAAATTACAGAAAAATGCCAAGCTCAGCTCTGGACTGGATATTTCCAATAGAGCCGTCAGTTGTGCACAGACCTGGGCAGCAAGCAGACTGCTTGCCATTCCCGTGTCCCTGCGAGCTGTTTTTGTAGATAAGCTTACCATTGCATGTGAAAGCCTGATTTTTTTAAATGCGGATGACTCCCCAGATAAAATTTTTGGCATCCATCAAAATATCCCTCATGTTCTCTACCAGGCCTCACATGTTTCAGGCTGGAGCTTTGAACTTATTCAGCTGAAACTTACTGGCTTTTAAATACGTTTCTTGTTGAAAAAATTGTCTTGAGAGATAGAGGCTTTGGAACCTTTTACCAGGAGCTTATTGAAAATATATTCTGGACAGCACACAGCTCTTAAAAATTCTAAAATATTGACATTCTAAAATAATAACTTAGAACTATAATTCTAAAATATTAACATTATATTCTTACTTAAAAGAGGACTGCTTCTTTTAAAAAGTGAAAGTGTATATTCTAAAATTTATTCCCAAAACTACAACACCATTACTTTTTCCTATTCCTCTTATTTGGCTCCTTTGTCTAAAAAGTTTGTACAAAACAGTTTATGGCAAAGATATTAAACTTCAGTGTCTTTAAAATGAGTGAGTATATACAGATCTGTATACATCCACTCCTTTTAAAGACACTGACATTCAAACTAGAGCTTTGAACTTGAAGTTCAGAAACAAACAAAATGACAACAATAACAAAATTACATATATGTGTGTGTAAGTCTGTGTATATGGACGTGTATAGGTATATATGCACATGTATATACACGTACACACACATGTGTACCATTTTGTTATTGTTGTCATTTTGGCCTGTTCTTCTGACATCTAAATAGTACAGGGACTTTTCAAGCAAGGATTTAAAAAGTAGGAATCACCACTTCTTTACCTACTAGGGCTGCTAGATACTTAATTAAACCTAAACAGTTTTAAAAATATAGTAGTGATTAAGTAGCTATTTACTATATATCTGGTCTCATGCCTAACACATGGGTATTCTATTAATAATTAGTTAACAGGCACATATACTAGTAAAAGATAACTACCAGCTCACTGTACTCCTTGAATTCAGTTCCCATAGGACAAATCCTTGCGCATTCTTACAATGGCTTGCCCCATCAGGTAGGTGAGAGGAATCTTTGTGAAGCACCATAAGTCTTAGTCCTTCCGCCCTTTGTGCCCACATGGATGATCACTCCCATTCAAGACTGCAGTACCAGGGGTGCCCACACTGACAGTAAACACCCATGGCCTAAGCAGTTCTCAGCTCAATTGTGTGTAAAACTCATCTGGGTTGTTTGTTAAAAATGCAATTCAAGAGATCAACCAAAGAACTTGTATGCATAATGTATAGCCATGGACACAGACAATAGTGTGGGGAAGGCCTGGGGTGGAGGGTGGGGCAGGCTAGATGGGGTCCATGAAGATTTCCTATGCTCATGAGAATCTGCACTATATTATATAGGCACCCTATGTGACTGAGAGCAGAATTAGCAATCTAGAGCTTTCTTCCCTAAGATAAGCCTGCCTATCTCCCATTAACTTCGTGGGTTGGTTGTCAAGTCTGCTCTATTAAAATGGAGCACAGACTGGGTTGACATGTTGCCTATTCTCAGCAAGCATATGTATTTTTAATTTTTACTGGTTGTTTCTGAAAATGATTATAAAGGATGAGCATATCATATCGGTGGGGATTTCCGGAGCAGTGGCTGCTCCAAGGAGAGCCGCCCTCTGTGGCTGCCCCCTGCACTCAGGGGCAGGCCTAGGCCAGGTGGACAGCAACAGGCCTGCGTGTGCTCTCCTACGATTTGAAAGTGGCAGGATCATGTTCTCATTAAATGCAACATTCGAAAAGTCACAGAAAAAAAATGGGAAACAAATCATTTGTCAGTTATTCTACGCGCTCAAGTTATCCGTAAGGAAATTAGGCTCTCATCAAGATTTGGTTCTATTAACAGCAGACAAAGTACAGGAAGAAGCATTCAAATCAGGTTTACTCCTCTCAGCACTTTCCTTCCGGTGTTTGTTTTATACAAACAATGAGCCCTGCCCAGGGCTAGGTCATCATTGATTTGAAGATTTATTCTACATCCCCTGACAAAGCTGACACTTGTCTACACTGATGTTTAGAACTGGCCGGGGGGACGGGCGGAGAATGTGACAAAATGAGCAGAACTCTGCTCAGGAGCCAGAACAGTCGCAGCTGTCTGCTGGGAACCAGCTTCATGACCTTGGGCAGGTCGTTTGTGTCTGGGCCCATCATTCTTTTCTTTGGGCCATGAGGTAGCCCAGATAGATCCTGCTGCAGTGAAAACTAACTTGGAGCCCAAAATACTAGATTCGAATCTGTTTTCTTTGAGGAACTAGATCTGGGACTTGGGAAATCACCTTAAAAAAATCAGTTTTTCACCCGGCGGGCAGGGCTCAGTAGATTGAGCGTCCTCCCATGCACCAAGAGGTCAAAGGTTTGATTCGCTGTCAGGGCACATGCCTGGGTTGCAAACTTGATATCCAGTAGGGAACCTCGAGGAGGCAACCGATCAATTCTTCTCCCTTGTTCTCTCTCTAAAAATCAATGAAAACATATTAAAAACAAAAAAAGTGTGTGTGGGGGGGAAGATTCATGCCAGGAGGCCTCAAAATGCAAACACAGCCCAAGAACCGCACCCGTATGTGCGGGACAGGGAGGACCTTTCTCTCTCATTCACTGGAAACCAGTCACAGATTCTAATCCAGCCAGTGTCCTGCCCCCCTTCCTGCGTTCCTGTCTCACCTCGTGCTGGGAAATCTGGGCCTGCAGCTCCTGGATGTTGCTGGTGGCCACGGGCGTAGCCTCGATCTCTCTGTGGGCTCCTTCTATCAGCTCCTGGAGGCGCTGCATCTCTTGTTCATATTGTTCATATTGCATCACAGCCTCCTGTGGGGGAAAAAAGGCCACAGCGTTATCTTTCCATATCAATAGCTGGGGAAGCAGCGCTGTGCTGCTGTCAGCCAACTACAGCCTGAACTCCTATCACCTGCGTGTCTGGGGAATAACGAAATGGTGGGCAAAATTCCTAGGTGATCCAAAGCCTCAACTTTGCTCAGATGTTCCCGAACCTTCTCTCTAAAACATGGTGCCAAGATTACTCAGGAACTCAAAGCAATTAAGTGGCGAGATGCTCTATCTTCCCCTATTCATTGTCCTGAAGATGGCAACGTCATGGTCAGGCATGGTAGGAAAAGTGTAAAAACACAGTTATTATCCATCTAAGAATACTGAATATATATGTAAGGCACTTGGTAACTGCTGGAGTAGAGGATAAAAAATTACTTCAGCGTGACTTCTATTCCCAGGAATTTACTGCCTAACAAATGACAATATATGGAATAAGGACAGTTGACTAAAGAGGCCATTAGCAATGTAATGAGAGGATATGTACATAATTTTTGGGTAAAAATGGTACAACATGAGCCCTAGCAGGTTTGGCTCAGTGGATAGAGCATTGGCCTGCAGACTCAAGGGTCCTAGGTTCGATCTCGACCAAAGGCAAGTACCTCTGTTGCAGGCTCCTCCCCAGCCAGGCCCTGGTTGGGGCTCATGCAGGAGGCAACCAATCGATGTGTTTCTCTCACATCAGTATTTCTCTTCGTCTTTCCCTCTCTCTTCCACTCTCTCTAAAAATCAATGGAAAAATATCCTCGGGTGAGGATTTGAAAGAAAGAAAGAAAGAAAGAAAGAAAGAAAGAAAGAAAGAAAGAAAGAAAGAAAGAAAGAAAGAAATGGTGCAACATAAGTTGACATAAGTTGAAATGAGATATGAAGTAAATAGTATCATATTTTCCTAATAAATGATTTTTCTCTTATTAAAGAGACTAAGAGTTATACTTGGGTGCACTTCTCAGGCACGAAAATGCATTTAGTGCATCAGTACGCTGAAATGTGAAAAAAATTCTGTAATATGTGCTAGCAGTAAAGTCATATTTCAAGGTTCTAGATGATTCTCAGATGAATATCGAGGCAAAAAACATGGCTAAATAGAATATTAACCTTTATAAGCTGTTGTTCTAAAAATATCGCTAAACGATAGTGTTCACCAACAGATATCTTTTTATAGAGCGTTCCCCAGGCTTTCATGGGTGATCCAAATAATAGCATTTCATTCCCTAATTTTACAGAACCACAACCATCTGTCACAGCTCACACTCTGGGTGTGTGTTGAGGGCTGAGCCCTCACAAGCTCAGTAAAGGAGCCAGGACCCTGGCTGCTGCTGGGCTGGTGTGGGGACCCCGCACGTGCCTGCATGACGTTGCACTGCTGGATGGCCACGTGCTGCAGCCGGCTGGCCTCCTCCTGCAGCTGCAGGGCCGCGTGGCAGAGCGGCAAGCTGGTGACCACGTCCTCGGGGATGCGGAGCGCGCTCTGGCAGGTCTGCACGGCCTGCACCTTCGGCTTCAGCGACTCCACCTCACACAGCAGGTGCTGAAAGTGCAAGAGCGTAGTTCACACTTTTATACCCAAGACTTTCTCTCATAAGCAAGAGACAAGTTACAGCGTGTTTACAGGTCATAAACATTTTCCAAGAAATATTACAAAAACAATGCATAGAGCCTGGTCAGTTGTGGCTCAGTGATTGAGCGTCAACCTATGAACCTGGAGGTCATGGTTCGATTCCCGTCAGGGGACATGCCGGGGCTGTGGGTTCGGTCCCCAGTGTGGGGCAGGCAAGAGGCAGCCCATCAATGATTCTCTCTCATCATTGATGTTTCTATCTCTCCCTTTCCCTTCTTCTCTGAAATCAATAAAAATATATTTAAAAACACTTAGCATATAGAGCTAAGACTATAACTGAGTTTAAAAATCATTTTTCCTCACTCTCCTCTTTTTAAAATCTAGGCTCCCGGTCAGCTCCCGGGTTGACTTTGCTCACCTGTCGATGAGAGAGTTGCTCCTTGAGACTAAGGCATCCCACTTCCGGGGAAGCCAGCGTTGCCTGGGCTTGCTCCAGAGCCACTTGGAGGTGTTTCAGCTCTGCTTCAAATTGTTTCATATCCTGCGGAGGAAAAGCAACACGCATGTCATTACTTAAGCACTTGAGGTTCAAGTTCAAGATGAAGAATAGCATCACAGTCAAGAAGGCCCAGCAGAGGTGAGCACTATACCTCCGCTATGAAGCACCACTGTGTGTGTGTGTGTGTGTGTGTGTGTGTGTGTGTGTGTTTTAATCCTCCCCCGAGGATTTTTTCCATTGATTTTCAGAGAGAGTGGAAGAGAGGGAAAGATAGGCAGAAAGATTAGTGTGAGAGAAACACATCAATTGGTTGCCTCCTGCATGTGTCCTGATCAGGAGCCTGCAACCGAAGTACATGCGATTGGGTCCCTCCTGCAGGAGCCCCAACTAGCACCCAGGCCGGGGAGGAGCTTGTAACCAAGGTACATGCCCTTGACTGGATAGAACCCAAGGCCCTTCAGGCTGCAGGCCGACACCCTATTCACTGAGCTAAACCAGCGAGGGCATGTTTTTTTAATGGACATCTCAATTTAAATGGTGACTATTTTTTACCTTGGCAGCATCTTGCAGATTCTGCAAACGAAGTTTGATCATCTGCCGCAGCTCCTCCGCCTCCCGTCCCAGTTCGGCCACTTGCTGAGACATCTTTTCTGTATGGTACACGCTGGCGAGGGGCTGCAACTTCTCCGTCATCGCTTCCAAGTCGCTGTGGGCTTCCTCAGACTCTTCCAGCATGGTCTAGAGTGAAGTATCAATATTCAGGATATTGATTGGTAGGTGGAGAGGTATTGGTAATCAACATGGTGTGGTGTAAACACCATCCGACCGGGAAGGGAGTAAGGAGACGTAATTCACCCTTCCCACGTGCACGGCATAGGGTGTAATCTTCACACGCCTGTGCCCACTCCCTACCTACTATTAACCCCATTTCACAGAATAAGAAATCAAAGTTCAGAAATGGTAAACAATTTGCCGAGGCCACGTGTTATTAAGTGTTGGACCATGAGGCTCGGGCTCTGCCTACCACCCCGAGCTGCTCCCTGGTGAAGGTAGGAGCAGAGCATCCCAGCAAGACCAGTGCTCTGCACGTAGGGTGGCTTCCTCAGGCCGCTGGGCCTCCCGTCTTTCATCACACGTATCTCAATGAAGGAGATGCATTTCAGCTCTCGTACTCTATACATATGAAATGAAAATAATACAAGAGCTCTGCAAACAAACAACAAAATTTTGCTCACTCGCCTTAAATGAGACAAGGCAGGGATGGGCAAACTTTTTGACTCGAGGGCCACAATGGGTTCTTAAATTGGACCGGAGGGCCGGAACAAAAGCATGGATGGAGTGTTTGTGTGAACTAATATAAATACAAAGTAAACATGATTACATAAAAAGGTATGGTCTTTTTTTTCAATAGTTTTATTCATTTCAAACGGGCCAGATTCGGCCTGCGGGCCGTAGTTTGCCCACGGCTGGGATAGAGGCAACCTAGGATCCCTAGAGGAATGAAACACGCCCTGGTCATTTAGGACCGTACCATCTACTGGGAGCAGGATTAACATGAATGGATTGACAACCATGTGCTGTGCACAGCCTGAGTGGAGTGAAAGAGAAGATGGGGGTGAGGAAGGCAGAGGTGAGATGCACTGCAGGCAGTTGGAGAAGGCTTCCTGGAAGAGCCTCACTTGGAGCCGAGTCTGAAGGATGTCTGCATGCTGACCGACGGGGAGCAGCACAGGCCAAAGCACAGAGGGGAGTAGGCACAACCCGGGCAGGGACTGGGCGAGTGATGCATAAAGACAAGTGGGAGGCGGGGCATGACTCTTAGGCAATAGGCTCTGATTTTAAAAAGTAGAGTACAGCCCAGCCCGTGTGGCTCAGTGGTTGAGCATCGACCTATGAACCAGGAGGTCACAGTTTGATCCCCGGTGGGGGCCATGCAGGAAGCAGGGATCAGTGATACTCTCTCACCATTGATGCTTCTATCTCTCCCTCCCCCTATCCCTTCCTCTCTGAAATCAATAAAAAATATTTTTAAAAAATAGAGTACACTTTTTCTCATAATAAACATTATATATGGGGTGGACAAAAGTAGGTTTACAGTTATAATATAAATAATACAGTAATTAGTAAATAATAAAAGAATAAACTCTGTTTCACATACTCACAACTGCAAACCTACTTTGCCCACACTGTATATGTATGTGTGTGTGTGTGTGTGTGTAAAGCCTATATATAAAAGCCTAAGCGACTGTTTGACCATTGGACTGGTAGCTATGATGTGCACTGACCACCAGGGGGCAGATGCTCAATGCATAGGCATGGAAACATGGAACAGACTGATGAATCTCAGAAGGAAGTGGGGAAGGGGAAGGCAGCAAGAGATTAACCAAAGATCTTATATGCATGGATTTGGCCTGCCCTGCAGGGACTGGGCCGAAACCGGCAGTCTGACATCCCCCAAGGGATTCCGGATTGCGAGAGGGTGCAGGCCAGGCTGAGAGACCCCACCGGCTCATGAATCCGTGCACTGGGCCTCCTGTCTTTCATCACATATAAGTAAAATTTTCCACAATCCCATACTTGAGAGATGACTTTAAGTAAGCTATAACTGCTGTTACGTGTGGGTACATTTCTAGGTAATAGAGATATTAACCCACGTACATTTTTCTTTTTCACCTGACATTGGAAACATGCATTTTCTCTCTGTACACTGTTTTTGGATAAACTCAGGTGGCTTCAGTTACCAAGGCAGGCACAAGAGAACTCGCTGGAACAGTGTGTGCAGGCCGAGTTCTCTCCTGAGTCTCATGGGAGGTAACCACTAACACCCGATATCTGTCCATCTGTACTCAACCCACCCAACTGCCCACATCAAACAAGCCTGGGAATTGTCCTTGGCTCCTCCCTCCCATTCAGCCACTCCCACAGTCTCCACATTCGGAATTTTAGCTCAGTAACACCCCTTGCTTGTGTCTTCTCTCAGCCTCCAAAGAGAGGCCTTGTCGCTTCCTCCTGGAATATTACAGCCACCTTCTAATCAATCATCTCCTATGTCATCTTGCCTTCGTTAACCTGCTCATTTCCACAGGGCAGTTTAGTCATCTTCCTTAAAAATACAAGTCTGTATTTGTCACTTGCCTGCAGAACATCTGTCAAAGGCTTCAGAGTGAGTTTAGGATCAAGTACAAGTGCTTACCCAGCTTCCACGATCTGCCTTCTCGTTCACTATCTACTCTATCCTCCAAGGCCTCTTTCTACCAGCCCCTTCCTCCACACCTTCCCCCCAGAGTGCTCCCTCCAGTGCACCACGCAGAGCTCCCCTCGCTCCTATACTACACAGGTGGGCTGCCTGTCTTTCAGGACTCAGCCCACAATCACCTATTCCTGAGGATAATTCTTTAACCTTCTCAAACCTGGCAGCCTAGGTGGAGCACCCCGCTTTGGGCTCTTTCAGCAACTTGATCCCTTAATGCCTGCATCACCATCACCTGGAGTGTTATTGTCTAGATCTGTCTATCTCCTTCCTCCCTTTAATTATCAACTCCTTCGGGGGACAGGAAATACTGTTTGTACTCCAAGTGCCTCCTGAAATTCCTACCTTTGAAAAATACTTCATAAATGTTTGTTGAATAAACAAATGAGCAAAGGAGTTATTTGAAAGAAAAAGCCTTTATGGTCATTTTAAAGATTGCATTCAATTCTATTATATCCAAAAATTTACTCAGATAAATGAACTGACATTTATGTTTCCCTTAAAATTCCACAAATTTCACTCTCGTGACTAATCCTGCATAAAATATTTTCTACATTGTGGACTATGGAGTAGGAACATTTTGATGATCATGATTCATTCTGCCAATTATTTTTCAAAGAGATTTTATCAGGTTACCAGGAGTATGTGAGCGCTCTCGCTTCTTTAAATATAAACTTTAATGAACAGTGTTAACTTGATTGTTAAAATGTGTTCTCTCTCTTAAATTTGTATTTGTAGATTTCTAATGAGGCTGAATACTTTTTTCATTGTTTACAACCAGTTGTATCATAAGTCTTGTCTGTTAATACGTAAGCATATCTCCAAGTAGAAGATTGGGGTTGTTAAGAAAGATTTATTGAGTGTGTGTGATTGACTATAGAAGAAAGATTGTGGGTACAGGAAACCAATTAGAAGCCTGTTAAAGAAGTCTAGGGAGAAAATGAGGCTTTAATCTTAGAATCCTGTCAACTGGAATAGATAGGAGGATAGATTTAAAAGACATAAGCATACAGAAATCAGAATAAAAGAGAAAACCTAAAATACTTGAGGGTATCCATGTAACTTAAAAGACATTCTGTATTTTACTGCAAGATAACAGCTGTTAAATATCTCTATCTAATTCAAACCGAGTTATAAAAGAATGAAATAATTTCCTGGATGACATGCCCCAGAGAAAGCTGCAGAGGAAATGAAGCAATGCGGCCACCTTGTGATGCGGACTCATTTCTGGTTCCCAGTTGACCACCACTTCCTGTGGAAGGCCAGGAGACAGGCCAGGCGGAGGCAGGAGAGCTCAACACCCCTGTGTCAGATCATGTGCTTAATGTCTGCACGTGAGCTCTACCTACCATTTGATCCTTGTACTAATTCTGCAGGATAAATCACTCGCATCTCCATCATATTGATGGGAAGACTGAGTTCAGAGCGGGAAAGTAGTTTCTTCCAAATCACACCTCCCTGAATGGCAGAGCTGGGTTTTCCCAGGAATCTGACTCGAGCCTACCTAATCTTTCTGTCAGTCACTACATCTCTTCACGGGGAAGAATTCCCTACCGTATCCCAGCAAATAACTGTTTCAAAGTAGCAGCAAAAAATGAAGCAATTATGTTTGCCTTGAGAAAGGAAAGTCTAGGGGAGGGTATCCATTTATTTATACAGTCTTATGAAATCTCACAGGTAGCTACTGTCAAACGACTGGACAAGTCATAGGGCTACCTTAGCTTTCTTTCTTTTTGTTTCTTTCTTTCTTTTTAATCTAGCACCTACAGTAATTTGGCATTACAGACCTCTAAGTTTTCTCAGTTTTTTCACTTAAATTAAGTTGCTCCTTTAGTTACTCTTTGAAAACTATTTTTCCCCAAGTTACCTGATGTGAAATGTATTGTTCCCGAAGTTGTTTTGCAGAATTCCACACAATCTTTGCATGTACCAATACTTTAGCTTTGTCAATCCACTTCAAAATGAATTCAAGCCGTTCATTGTATTCTTCTAAATGTGATGTTGCCTAAAAAAATAATTAACATTCAGATAACAAATGAAACCTCTATTTCTTGAACTTTAAATCAGTTTTCTGTCTCTTTTTGGATATAATAGTCCTATAGTTGATCATTATAATATCTGAGATATTTAAAGTGTCAACGTAAGGAATGTCCAAATCCATAGACAATTTTTATTAGTTTATTTGAGGTGACCGATGACCTATAGCAGGGAGCAAGATCTCACAGAATAACAGCTTTGCAGCTTCTTTTAAAAATTAAGGTGGGTCTGTAAGGAAGACTGGAGAAGATTAGAAGGTGGTGATTGGATTACAGGGTAGTTAACAAGATTATATGCTATCTTGGTTAGGGTTTATTTTAAAGGTGTGCTATTCTAGAAGCACAAGAACAGTGGACAGGGAGGGCTGGCTTAAAATCTTTCACTAAAGAACTTATAGGCCTGGGGTGGGACTCCCCACCATGACCTGCCCAGTTAGTAACTTACAATTGGCACCCAGTGAGGTTACTTTGCATAGGAATTCTCCCCCCTTTTTCAGTTTACAAAAGATACCATGAAAAAGCATGTCCTTGTTGAAAATATTGCAAGGACTTCCCAGTGACTTTAGAGTAAAGTCCAAGTACTTCATATGCTTGAATAATCTGTCTTTAAAGAAAGTTCTCTCTCCTTATCTCTTATTCATCTATTTAGCTCCCTTTTCTGTCTCCCCTCTTCTGTACTCCACCCTCACTAAGGGTGGGGATTATGGCATTCCAGGTTTCAATATTGTCATTCATTGGTTGCCAAATCCTAATTGAACTTGTCCCTGGTTACAGAAAACATACACAATGGATTAAAACCAGTTGAGTCTATACTCAACAATTATGATGGATGTGTGTGACCTGAACCTGTGAAGTAAATGATAGCTATTAAATATTATCTGTATATCTATATATATATCTTACTTTAAGATACTTGAATTCACACAAACTGAATTGTGAAATGTTAATGGATGAATATACATTTTACAAAAATACTTTCCCAGTTTACAAAATATTCACCCCAAAAGTGTACTTACATGACCACCTTTGTTAATAAATTTATGATATTGCTTGATATCAAATAAAGGCAGGTTCTGTATGTCTAATTCTTAGGAACACAAGTGCTGTATGAAATAAGCTACTCTTAATAAATTATTCTCTCCATTGTCAGTATCATCTTTTTATTTATTTTCAAAAGAGGAAAACAGAACAGAGAATTTCTGCCCTTGAGAAGTTGGGTTCCTGGCCGGGAACACATACCTGGCTGATCTTGAAGAACCGAGTCTCGGCCTGCCTGCTGGTCTGCTGGTGGAGTTCCGTCAGTTTCCCGACCTTCCTGGTCAGCGGCTTACCCAGTTGGCCATTCTGCTCCGAGAACTTTTGTACTGCTCCATCCAGTTCCATTAACTTTAAGTTACAGGCATCCAGTTCCTCCCCTAGCACCTAGGTGGTCATCAAAATGAAAGAACATCAGACTACAGGAAATAAATGTCTCCAGATTTTTCAAGTTCAGAAGGATGACATTAAATGATCTTAGTATAAGACAAATACAAATGATTTGTATGACCATGATCAGGTCATTTCCATTTCTTGGGTTGGAAGTCAGAGCAGGATGTTTGGCAACTCTGGTGTTTATTTCCTATGAGGCTGAGAGCTCACATTTTCCTTCTGCTCCACCCAAAAGGATTAGTCACTTAGCTCATCAGCAGAGTGAGAACTCAGATTTAGCTCCTAAGAACATCCTTCACTTTGGAATTGATATACCCGTATTCCTAACTCATCACTGAGTTCTCTGACACTTCTCCTGCTTACCCACACATGCATGTAAATTCATGAATAAAGTTCAATTGTGATGATAAATTATATCATGTAAATAGATCTATGCTATCATATTTATAGAGTTTCTTGATTGCCTCTCTTTACTGTCTGGTTTTAAGGAAGCTTGCTGATCAAAAAACTCTTTTTTAAAAAAAGATATTCCCAAAATGTACTAACTCCCAAACAATACTGAATGCATTCAGCAGCACTCCTTATGTTCACAGTTCTCTTTCCTTACCTTTTGGTCAGCTTTAGCTTGAACTAAGTTGTCTGTCTTTGCCCTCAGCTTAGTTAGAATCGTTGTGAGATCTTTGGTTATCTTCTGAATTTGCCGGCTGAACTCCTGGCTCGTGGCCTTGCTCTGTTCAATTTGTTTTACTCTGTCCTGGATCTAAACAATCAACGAGAACAGCAAAACCAAGCATGGTTAAACTTGGGTAACATATGAAAAACCCCATTGTTGACGAGAGATTTCAGGTGGTTCCTGCTGCTTTGGCATCTATGAGCTTGGTCGAAGCCGCCCCTGTAGTTACAAACTCACATGTCTTCCATGCAGCCTCCCCTCCCCCATCTGCAAGCACTCGCTGCAGGTCTCTCTGCTGCTCTTTCAGTAAAGGAGCAAAACAAGCAGCCCATGTACAGTGATTCACTCATCAAATATTTAGCGTCTGCATAGATGGCCATGTAGATAGCGGAGCCCGAGTCGCTGTTTACTAATACTGTGACCTTCAGTGCACAGACTCCTCCTCTAAGAATTTTTCTTCAGAATACACAGAACTCTCCTTTATAACTGAACGCACACGTTTCCAAGCACCTTTCCATGAGCAGCTGCTAATGACCTGGTAACTGTCTAACTTGGCAGTCGCATCCCTAGAGGATGACAAGAGAACACGTTTCTAATGGCTGTGGTTTGATTTGATAACAAATATTCATACTTTGGTTTATAATAAAATGCCAAAGGAAAGAAGGTAAAGAAATTTTCTCTTTGTATAAATGAAAGGCTGCAATACACCTAGAAGGGTGACTGGTAGCCTCTGGGCACTCAATGCCCATGGTATTGTTAAACACATGATATATATCTTATTTTTGTTGTTGTTCCGGTAAGTCTTTTGTTTTTTGGAAAAAGGTAAGGGAGAGGAGATAAGTTATTTCTAATTATATGACACTAGAGGCACAGTGCACAAAATTCGTGAACATGGGGGAGGTTGTCCCTCAGCCCAGCCTGCACCCTCTTGCAATCTGGGACCGCTGGCTCCTAACCCCTCACCTGCCTGTCCGCCTGATCGGCCTAACTGCTCTCCCCTGCCGGCTGATCGCCCCTAACCATCTCTGCCTCGGTCCTGCCACCATGGCTTTGTCCAGAAGGATGTCCAGAAGGTCATTCAGAAGACGCCCAGTATAATTAGCATATTGACCTTTTATTAGTATAGATTATTGTTCATGTCTGTGATCATCTGGTGTGTATGTGTTTTATCTAATTTAACAGTATTGTTTGTTTGTTTTGTTAATCCTCAACTGAGGATATTTTTTCCATTGCTTTATCAGAGAGAGTAGAAGGGAGGGAGAGGGAAGGGAGAGAGGGAAACAATGATGTGAAAGAGACACATCAACTGACTGCCTACTGCATGCGCCCCAAACAGGGGACAGGGAGCAAACTTGCCACCCACATACATGCCCTTGATGGGAAATCAAACCAGCAACTCTTCAGTGTGCAGGCAGACACTCTAACCATTGAGCCAACTGTCCAGGGCAATAGTATTGTTTTATGCTGATCAGATTTTAAACTCTATATCCATAAAGAAGTCCTTGTGAAAATCAAGAACTCTCGTACAAGAACGCTGAGCCTATGAAAGAAGGGAAAGGCACTCTTTCTTGGGCATGGGTTTACCTGGTCATGGACAGTTCCTAGGTTCAATGCCACCTCCGCTAGCTGCAGGGAGAGCTCAGAAGGTAGTATAGCATAAAGACCCAAGTACTTGGTCTTCTGCTCCTCGGCTACTGTCTCAATGTTCTGTCGGTGCTTCGTGGCTTCTGTTAGGAGAATCTGAAGGAAAGATCAAAAAAAGAAATGTCTGGGAGCCTAAAGAAATTTCCATGGGTATAGAGACAAGACAATGTATTGTCCATCAGTACATGATTAAATGTGGAATTAGAGAGACATCTTAAGAAAAAACCAAGCTTTTCTTTAGCCTCTGAGTAAGAAACATATCCACTTTACACAGAACAAACAAAAACCCCATCAAATCGTACTAAAAGACTCTTATATAACACATTTCGGAAAATTTTTAATTAAATATTCTAAGCAAATGTGTCATATTAAAATCAGGGAAATTTTTTAATGATAGGTATAAGGAATGAGGAGAGTTTTGTACCTGAAGTTCTTCAAGTTGAGCATCTATTTCTATTGTTGGATTCTCCAAATATTCCTTCGTTTCCCGAACCCAAGATTTCACAGAATTGATTTGAGTCTCCACTCCTTCTCGGTCCTTCAGCTCTCGCTTCACCACCTTCCCCTGACTCCTCACTTTCTCCTGCATGCTTCAGACACATTTCAGGGAGAAAGCAGAAGTGAATTGGAAATGAAAGGAACCCCTAGCTCACAGCATTATATTATCCAAAACAGACATTTTTCTAAAAGGTGAAATCTCATATCCTTTTGCAACTAAATTCACGTCCCCAAACCTGTCAGATAATTTTCAGTAAGACTTACATTTGGTCCAAGTATACTGGAAGAATATATATCAGGTGAAGTGAATGATTTTTCCCTGGAAAATTGAGAACTGACACACTCCACTGCTACCACATTGCAATTAATGTTCTATGTAAAATAACCGGGACATTGTTTATTTAGTTTCTCTCCAGAAATCGACTCACATGAATTGGGGTCACCAGCCTTTAAAAGTAATGTGTAATTGGAATCTCTGTGGTCATTAGAAACCAGTCTTTGAAGTCAAGCTTTGGAAATGTTATAGTTAATAATGTTCAACACCCAAATTGTAAGTCTTTCTTTGAGTTGACATAAATTTGGTTAAAAAGTTTAAATAAGTGGAGCCCAGTTCTCCTGAATTCATCTATAACTGAAGAGGTGGATGTAGGACATGTATGAATAACAGTAGCTAATGCAGCAGTTAAATTATCTATTGACATTTCTTCTCTGGCCCCATAAGTGAATCAGGCTGATTATATATCATTAAGTTTTGTTTTGTTTTCTTTTCTTTTAAATTTATTTATTTTCTAAAGTTTTACAAATGTCTCCTTTTCCCCCGCTCGCCCCCCAACCCCTCCAAGCCCTTCCCACTCCAGGCACGCCCCCACCACCCCAGTGTCTGTGTCCATTGGTTACCCTAATAAGCACGCATACAAGTCCTTTGGTTGCTCTCTAACAACCACCCTCCCCCCCACACACACTCCCCTGCCATCTGTCTAGGATCTATTCTTGTTCATCAGATTATGTCGATCATTACATCCCACATATGTAACCATTAAGTTTAACGTCCTCTAGCCACAAAGTGCGAAAAGGGTTATTTGCCTGAACTTGGGCATCATCCTTGTTCTCATCTCTCAGTCATCCAGTTTAGCCAGTGAGTTACGAAGCTTTTCAGAACCAGGTTCTAAGTAGCTCCCAATTGTTCAGCTCCCAAGCTTTGCTTCTCAGGAAGAACGGCATCACCCCACAGTGCCCTGAGAGTGGCATGCTCACTCCCAAGGTTTCCTACAGGCTCTTCCCCTCTTTGCACAATTCTCCTCTCCCCTGGCTGCCTCCTCGAGCTGCTCAGTCTTCAGCTGAGGAGACCTGCCGTGCCTGCCCGCCTAGGCTCCCTGTCTCTGCTTTGGGGTCCTTTCTCGCCCTTTTCATGCTTTACCCAAGCGGCCCCTGGAGTTGCCCATCTCTGCCGCTTGACTGTGAACAGCGTGAAGGCACTGACCGAATCTGTTCCGTTCATCCCTGTATTTCTAAATACTACTAGATATGTGTTTGTCAGATAAATAATTGAAGAGCTAAGAAAAATGGGGAGCAGGGATGAAGGGAACAGATCCCCCCTCCCCCAACTGTAAGGTGGCATGATGGAGCACCCCCAGACTCTAAACCACACTCATCCCTTTGGGTCATGGCCGGGTTCAGTAACAGAGAATGAAGGGCGTATCCTTACCTCAGGCACAGATCTTGCATGGCTGTGATTTCCTGCATGACGGGGGGCTCCTCCCCGGGGGGTGGGGCGGCCCCATCGGGGAGCATGCTCAGCGCCTGCTGCCGCAGCATGCCGAGGGCCGCCTGCTGCTGGTCCAGCTCCAGGGTGAACATGTCGTGGTGCTCCAGCAGAGCTAAGAGTTCCACTTTTGAGGCTTTCTCTGCCGAACTTTCCGGTAATTTGCCTTCTAGCTGATTGATCGTATCAGTGGCTTTCTTAATCTGATGAAAAATGTATGTAACATGAAGCTAAAAAATAAACTGAAAACATGGGGCAACTCCTATAAACATACATTTGACTCTAGTGCAGCTGTTCTCAACCTGTGGGTCACGACCCCTTTGGGGGTCGAACGACCCTTTCACAGAGGTCGACTAAGACCATCGGAAAACACATATATAATTACATATTGTTTTAGTGATTAATCACAATGCTTTAATTATGTTCAATTTGTAACAATGAAAATACATCCTGCATATCAGATATTTACATTACGATTCATAACGATTCATTACAATTCATAAAATTACAGTTATGAAGTAGCAGCGAAAATAATTTTATGGTTGGGGGTCACCACAACATGAGGAACTGTATGAAAGGGTCGTGGTCTTAGAAAGGTTGAGAACCACTTGACTAGTGCATCAAAGCTCATTAAAGATGAGAGTGTAAACTCTAAATCCCAGGAAACTAAAGCCTGGACAATCTTCTTGACATGAAAGGAAAAACCACCTTTCTAATTCTGGGTTTAAAGCTTTAATCTCAAAATAATATCAGGGCTATCAGAGATTGCATAACATAGAAAAAGTGTGTGTGTGTTGTAAGTAAAGGACAAATGAAAAGCTCCAATATTCCGAAAGGAAGATGTGTCTTCAAACATTGAATCCTACTTAAAAGATGAAAAAAATTAATATAGGACTTGGGACATTGGTTCAATTCCTGCTCATTTCCATGGCAAAGAAAGACATATTGTATAATTTTTCAGGGCGAATGTTTCACCAAGAAACGCAAATGGAGGAAAGTGGGCTTGTCCTCCTTTCAAAATTTCATTTCTTGGTTTTCTTATTAAAATGATCGGACCCTGACTTGGGACTACATTGCAGATTGCCTATGGTACGGTGTTGCATAATGTGGTTTTCATGCCATTGAAATAGAGACGTGGGGAAAACGCTTTGTGCTTTCATAAAGCCAATGGAAAACAAAAGCAAAACACTGCTTTTCAAAATCCACGCTCGTCAGGGAGGAGACGATCCTGAGCCCATCAACGAAGGAGATCACCTTCTTGCCGAGGTTCTTCCACGCATCCACCGCGTCCTCCAGGATCTTCTCCTGGTCCTGGGCCACCGCCCGGAGCCGCGCCCAGCGCTGCCAGACCGTGGTCATGGACCTGCCGATGGTCGCTTTGCTGGCGTCGTTGCCGGCCTTCTCCAGCTGCGATGCCTCACCCTCCAGGGCCACGATTTTCTCGTGGAAGGAGTGAACCCCTGCCACTAAAGCCTGAGGTGGGGAGGAGAAGACGGTGAGGGAGAGATTTTTTTCAAAAGTTCTATGGATTTGAGGAAAGCCCACAATTACCTGCAAAAGGAAATGTCTCAACATATATTCTTTTTTCTTCTGCTAACTCTTACTTCGGATTCTTCATTGAGTCAGGCTTGGATTTTTTTTTTTTTTGAAAGAGGCAAGGTGAATATTTATTTGTTAAAAACCAAAGTTTATTTGCTACTTGAGATGGGATTCTCCCACCTTTAAAAGGCAGCAAAAATATAAGGCAACTGAGATTAGTATTTAAGGGTGGCATAATCTATGTTATATTGCTATGATAGATGAGGGTGACTTCGCTACTGTTTGTTAAATTGTATTTGAATTCATCTAAGTTATCACCAGAAAGGATTCACTGGAATTCATTGCATCACACTTTATCAGAAGCAATTGCTCTGAATGTGTTTCTGAAACCAGCTGTGCATTTCCAACTGAATCCTAAAAAACGTGACAGACAGCATGCAATTAAGTAAAAACTGCCAGGAAACATGCTTAATGTATCCTTTTCGTGTTTAAGGAGCCCTGGTGAAGATGGATTGACCTGATTCTGGAACTGCAGTATCACCGAGACTCTTTACAAAGACAATGAAAGGACGTTAAAAACAACCACACAACTCACCTTGTGCTCAGACAGTTTTTCTTCTGCTTCACGACTGGAAGAAGTCTTCAGTAAGGAAAATTCAGACAACTTCTTTTCGGCAGCATTCATCAATTCGATAACCTCTTCCCTTGCTTTCTGGTAATCCTGCCACTGAGCCGCACACCTTGAAAAGGTGTAACAAAAACCAGTAAGCAACATCAAATCCCAGTCACAGAGCTCTGACATCAAGATGCCTGATGGCACTCGAGAGAGAAGAATGAACTTAGGTGTGGATGTTCATTAGTATATTCCTGTTTTCCATGTGAAAATTCATTTCAAAACACCTCATATTTCTGCCCAGCTGGTGTGGCTCAGTGGTTGAGCATCGACCTAGGAACCAGGAGGTCACGGTTCTATTCCCAGCCAGGGCACATGCCGGGGTTATGGGCTCCATCCCCAGTGGGGGCTGTGCAAGAGGCAGCCGATCTATGATTTTCTCTCATCACTGATATTCTATCTCTCTCCCTCTCCCTTCCTCTCTGAAATCAATAACAATATATTTTAAAAAACAAAACAAAATAAAACAAACACCCTCACATTTCAGTAGAATACAGCGATTAAAACCACTCCAATACCTCCGCAAGAGATCGAGCTGGGCGTGGGAGTCCTGGATCACCCTCCGGCTCTTGTCCTCCAGGGTCGTCATTTTCTGGGCAAGCTCCTCTTTGGCAGTTGGCTTGATGAGTGGGTCCAGGGTGGCGACCAGGCCGTGCAGCTCCTCCAGGTTGCTCTGGAACTGATCCTCTGCGCTGAAAAACTCCGTGTGGCTTCTGAGACCGTCCTCCGCACTCTCCACGTCCAGGCTGCTGCCTGCCAGCTGCAGCAGCTCCTGGGCATCCTCAAGCCAGTCGCTCGCGGCTTGAAACACTTGATAGTACCTTTGACATTGACTATATATTTGAGTCAATGTAGCCTGAAACACAGTCATTACAAACACAATCAACCCTCAATTGCAGTGTGTTTGCAGAAAATCGTGAATTTTTCTGGTTCTTTTCCAGTCCTTTGTCATGTGGATGTATGTGCATAAGTGAACTGAAAAGTTGGTGGATTTTTTTTTTTTGGTGTAATCCATTGTTATCCTTTGTTTTCTCTTCTGCTAATCTTGCTATAGTTGTATTATTATAGTTAAAATATGTAAACAGAGACAGAAATGAAATAGAAATGTACACTGGTATCTTGACTAGTTCTGAGACTGTCTCCCACATGTGTATGTCATACTATACATACCATAATGCTTAGTCATATGTGGCAGACTGAATATTGACCAAAGTGAAATACCATCTCTGTTGGTTGGAACTATAACAACACCAGTGGGAATGTCAGCCAGTACAGTCACTATGGACAACAGTATGGAAGTTCCTCAAGAAATTAAATACAGTACAACTGCCAGATGATCCAGCAATTTCACTTCTGGGTACTTATCCAGAGGAAACAAAATCATTATCTTAAAGAGATATCTATACTCCCACATTCTATGCAGCTCTCATTTCTTTATCCCCAAGTAAAGTCATGATGAGTGTTCTAGTCTTGCTTCTGTGGTGCCACAGGGAAGCGAGAGAAGATGAAGGGGTGAACAGATGGGGCAACTGATGGGAGACCCCAGAAAAAAACGTGGCTCAGCATCAGGGTCAGGGCTGTATCACCCATCTGCCTCTCTCCATTTGGAGATTCTTCATCCACACTGATCTTATACATGCCAAGTTTTGCATTGTTTAAAAAGGCATCGCTAATTCATCATTGCTAATTTGTTTATTTTATTACTAATGTACTCACCACGGTATTAAATCCATTAGTGCTATCATTTATTACCTCTCATAAAGGTGAGAGAAAGCAGGGGTTACTGTGTGATAACTAAGTGAGGCCAACATGGAAATCCCATGAAATGATTACCACATCCGTAGACAGTAAAAACATCCTTTTGAGTCACCATCAGTTAAAGATGATTCTACATAGTATCATCAAAGAAATATTTAAGGCAGCAATTCTAACAAACAACAAAAAACAACAACACACCAATATCTCACGCACGTCGACAAATAAGCAGAGTGGGGAGAAGACAGGAGGAGCCCTCGTACCCACCTGCCTGGTGCGTAAAGCCTCCTGAATGTCTCCGTCCAGCTCCGAGAGCTCGGCCAGCGTGTGCTGCAAGTCAGCGGAAATCAGCTCCTTGGCTTTGGTGAATCTCTCCGTCTCCTTGTCGCGCAGGGCCTTCATGATCCTGAGGCTGGACTGCACCTCTTCCTGGTGAATCTGGACCTTCCTGATCTCCTCCTGGATGTCCCGGAGGTTCAGGTCCAGGCACACGGGCCCGCTGAGCTCCGCCTGCACACCCCTCAGCCAGGCCAGCGAGCGGCTCAGCTCGGTCTGGAAGTCTATACTCTGCACCATGCGGCTCTCACACTCGGTCACGGTGGCGCCGATGGCCGCAGTCAGCAGTGTCAACTCCTCCTGCCAGGCTTGGGTCTGCTGCTTGGCTTTCTCGTAAGCCGAGGGGTGGAGGTGTGGGACCAGATCTTCGAGATGCATGGCCATGCGTTTGAGCAGAATCCCCGAGTCCTGGAGGCTTCCCGCCAGGGCGTGATACAGCTTGAGCTTCTCCTCCGCGGGCAGCGTCTCCTCGTTCAGCTGGGACTGCTCTGCCCGCACGGCCTCCAGCTGTTTCTGCAGCTGCTGGCTCATCTTCTCGTACTCTTGATACGCAGCCGTGGTGTCCTCCAGTAAGCTCGCCCTCTGTTCTGTCTGCCGCTTCAGCCTGTGGTACGAGGCGACGAGCTGCAGCATCCTGTCGGGCTGCCACGGCTGCCCTGTGCTGCGGAAGCTTTCCTTCTTCTGGCTCAGCTCATCCACGGCCTCCCCGAGGCCCGCCACCTCGCCCAGGAGCGCCCTGCAGCCCTCCTGAAGGCACAGCGCCTCCTCCACCGTCAGGGCGCTGGGGACTGGGCTCATCTTTAAGAACTGGTCCTCCAGGTCGCTCAGAGACTGGGCGGTCAGCTCGATCAAGGAGGCGTACTCTCTCCGAGCGAGAATGGCCTCCTGGACCTTGTAGAACTTGTCTTTGGCCAAGGCGACGATGACATTAAATTGCTGGGGCAGAGCGTTCAGCTTCTCGTCCAGGTAGGAATGATCGACTTCGCTCAGCGAGGGCAGGATGGCCTGGCCGGTCCGCTGCAGGGTCAGGAGGAGGCTTTCATACTCTGGAGATTGCTCCAGGAGGTGCTGGTATTTGGCCAGCTGCGCCTGCAGCTCTGAACTCTCGTTCATTAGGTTGATCTCAGGAAAGGTGACAATGTCTGCTTGTCTCAGCCAGTGACAAGCTTTATCAAAATCTTCCTTGAAATGCTTCCTGGACACGAAGCTCTTCTCCAGCTCTTGGAGCCGGTGGCCGCACTTCTGCAGGACGGCGTCGTACACGCCCTGCAGGTCCTGGAGCTTGGCCAGCACTTCGCCCTTGTCCTGCTCCGTGGCTCCTTTCATCAACTCACGGCCCTGCGCCCAGAGGCCAGTGACTTCATTCTGGTAGGTCTTGAGGCTGGCCTGGGCGCTCCGACAGGCTTTGATCTGTTTGCTCACATCGTCCGGTAACAGGCAGATGTGCTCGCGAAACAGTATCTTTCGCTCGTGCTGCTGGATCTGGCTGGTGGCCTGGAACAGCGCCATGAGAAACTGGGTCTTCTCGGACAGGGCCTTGTTCAGGTACTTGCGCCTCTGGCCCACGAGGTCGCTGAGACAATGGACGTGCCTCTGTGCGTCGGCGAGCGCCTTCTGGACGACCTGCCGCTCGTTCAGGCCGAGATCTGCCATCACCCTGTCCGCGTCCTTGGTGAGGGATTTCAGCAGCATCTGCTTGGCCTCCAGTTCACTGCAGACGGTGAGGTGGTCCATGAGAAGGTTGGGAGCCACGTCGGGAGGGGGGCTCTGCTTGAGGGCCTCGGCGATGCTGGGCTGCTGCTCCTCCGCCCACTCCATCAGCTCCTGGAACCTGGCCTGCACCACGCTCAGCTCCTCCAGGTTGGCCACCGAGACTTGGATTTTCCTACTAATGAGGTCCTCCAGCTGAGACCAGCGCTGCTCAAGGTGACGCGTCTGCTCTTTGACGAGGTCCCTGTCATCTAAATTCAGATGCTCGATCACGCTCTGCTTTCTGTCTTTCAGGTCCTCGATGGCCTGCTTCCTCTCCTGCAAGGCCGTCGCCAGCTTCTTCAGAGCTTCCAGGTGGACCGCGGTGCTCTCTGCATCGGATCTGTAAATACACAGAAGACATCAAAGCAAATTAGCCAACTCGGTCTCTGTATGTGTTCATTCCATGTTCTATCGCATTTCTCCTTTAAGAGGATTTCTTCACTTGGAGTTTACTGACCCAAGTGCTGAAATTACTAGGGAATGCAAGACCCATGTCTTTCTATATCAGAAGTTGGGCCCAAAACAAATGGCCTACATGAAGCATGCCAAACTCAAACTCAAAGGCTAAGATGGGCCAAATAAACGAGGCATGCAGCTGGCGGGCCGCGGGTTTGACATGCGTGGCCTACATACTTCCTTTCTACTCTTCGGGATCCTACTGCCCTCCCGACATGTCTGACACCTGCTTTTAGCTTCTTCCTCTGGCCCTTGCAAAGTGAGCAAAATCGGCACATTAACAAGATCCCTGGATGACTTGTGTAAACATTCGACATAGAGAAGCACTGATCTCTGCATTTTTGAGATTAATAAGTGGCCAATGATGTATGTGCTTTCCTGTGAGAAGCAGCTCAAGCAAACACTCTAGTGCTAGACAGGAAACCTGCAAGACATAACCAAGGGCTCTCTCAGCTACTCATTTGTGAACTCAGATATATATATATATATATGTCTTTTTAACCCTTAGCCAAGGATATGTTTTTATTGATTTTTAGAGAGAGAGGAAAGAGAAGGGGTGGGGGAGAGGAGAGAGAGAAACATCGATGTGAGAGAAAACATTGATCAGTGGCCTCCTAAATGCATCCTGGGTACACTGGTTCAATTTACAGTGAGCAAGGAGAATCGGGGCTCTCTAGCCATATGACAACATGAGTTTCTTCCTTTTCAGTTTTTTAATGTGTTTTTATTGATTTTTGAGAGAGGAAGGGAGAGGAAGAGAGGAATAGAAACATCAATGATAAGAGAGGATCAGTGATAGAATGCCTCCTGCATGCCCCCTACTGGGAATCAAGCCCGTAACCCGGGCATGTGCCCTGACCTGGATTCAAACTGTTCATGGGTCGCAGCTCCACCACTGAGCCACACCCAGGCACCGTGAGTTTCTTAACAATGTTTTGTCAGTATCGATAATGATTGACAATGGATGTTAAAAACATTAAGAAAGGCCTTTTCCGTTTTTATGGAAATTAAGAAACATCTGGCTTAGTATTTTGGGATGTGCCCGAGCATTGCTGTTACCTGGCCAAGTTATCCCATTCTGTAGTAAATTTTTCCAAGAAGACCTCGACGACGCTCATGCAGTCATGGTAGTCTCGTGTCCTCTGGAGTTCCTCTTCCCTTTGCGAGCACAGGCTGTTGGACTGAAGGCACAGATCCAGCCACTGGTCGTTCAGGTGACTGATCTCCTTGTGTTCAGGAGATTCCTGCTTCTTGGTTAACTCGTCCACCTTTTCCGTAATAGCCGACACCGACGCCTGTTTGCACTGTAGTTTCTTAACAAAATCCTGAAGGTAAAAACACCGACAAAATAGGTAACCTGCAATAAACTTCCCCATAAATATAGAGGGAAGCATAGATGTCATAAGCCTAACGAACTAAGCATGTATAATTAATGGGTCATGCGGAACAATGAGAGACTAAAAGTGATCATACCTCTTTATGAATACAAATTTCCAAGTGTATAAGAATCAAAGGATAACTGTAGTACTTTCTTTTCTTGTGTAATTTTGAACAGTATAAAGAAAAACTGAGAAATGTAAAACAATATTATATTCACTAAGGAAAAAAGTTAATATTGTATCTCAAAGTTCAGCCTTAGTTTCCTAAAAACTTTTGAAGTTCATGCTTTTGAGAAAAAAAAAGTAATCTAAATTTATGTCATCTTGTTTTTTCTGCATATGCAAATAATATGTTAGTACAAACTATAAATGGTTCACTTTCATAGAGAAAAAATAAATTTTAAAGCTTGTTAAAAATCTGGTACAACTTCCAATCAAGTTAAAATAATCTTCTATTAAATTATGTGTAAACATGGAATAGGAATGATATTTCTATTACAAATATAATTATATATTAATAAATATCTAGTTTATATTCAAATATGTATTTAGTTGATTGGTACACTTACGTTCCTACAGCTTCAATTACTTATATATTAACATATATTTACTAGAGGCCCGGTGCACAAAAATTCTGCACTCAGGGTTGGAGGTACCAGTGGTCCCTCAGCTTGGCCTGCGCCCTCTTGTAGCCTGGGAGCCCTCGGGGGATGTCCAACTGACAGTGTAGGTGGTGGGACATCCTTACAGCTGCTGAGGAGGCAGGAGAGGCTCCCACCACCGCCGCTGCACTCGCCAGCCATGAGCCCAGCTCAAGGCTTCTGGCTGGGTGGTGCTCCCCCTGTGGGAGTGTACTGGCCACCAGGGGGCAGCTCCTGCATTGAGTGTCTGCCCCTTGATGGTCAGTGCGTGTCATAGCGAGTGGTCGTTCCACTATTCAGTTGATTTGTATATTAGCCTTTTATCCTACAGGATTCATATAAAATATACTAGAGGCCTGGTGCACGAATTTGTGCACAGGTGGAGTCCGGCCAGCCGCCCCCGCCCTTGATCTGGGTGTTGGAAGCCAGTCGGGGGCCAGGCCTGCTGGAGCAGGGGGCCGATCGGGGCCTGGATAGGCTGGTTGGCTGCCAGCAGTGCATGTCATAGCCACTGGTCGTTCCTGTCATTCTGGTTGTTCTGCCGGTCCAGTTGCTGGGCTTTTATATATATAGATATAATATAACATGTATATTATGTATTTTATATATTTAACATTATTTAATTAATGGGCACATTGACAGTCCTGCCACTTCAGCAACATTGTGATGAAAGATGATAAGTGATGAGGGCTTGTGTGTGTTCAGAGGCAGAGGCTTCTGGTTGAATCAGCTAAACCACAGCGCCATGTTCAGGAACAAATGCAGAGTGAGGGTCCTTTGACTCAAGTGGCTAATTGGAGCTCCAATAAACTATTTGAATGTTTACTTTCATTTTTAAAATTACTATTTTTATTTTTCAATTACAGTTGACATTCGATGTTATATGAGTTTCAGGAGTATAATATGGTGGTTAGACATTTGCATAACTTCCAAAGTGATCCCCCTTAGGTGTAGTGCTCATCGGACACCATACTTAGTGATTATAATATTACTGACTATATTTCCTTCTCTGTGTTTTACAAATGTTTGCTCTCTGATCTGTCCTTTCCTGGCACCAAATGAAGGTCTTTCTGAGTCTTTATATTCCTTCAATAGCTATGCTAATGTATATGGATTGAGGGACACACCCATCTTGACCTTCTCTGCCTCCCCCCGGGGAAACTCACT